CCTACCCAGCAACACTGAGTATAATTCTTTAGGGGAAAAAATGGTCATTCAGTGAAATAGAGGACTTTCAAGCATTCTTGATGAAAAGACCAGAACTGAATAGAAAATTTGACTTTCAAATACAACACTGAAGTGGAACATGAAGAGGTAAACTGGAAAGAGAAATCATAAGAGACTTATTAAGGTTGAACTGTTTACATTCCTGCATGGAAAGATGATATTTGTAACTCATGAGACCTCTGTCAGGATTAGGGTAGTTGGAGGGAAAAAATCATATGTGTATATATATAATATGTATATATATATAGATAGATAGATAAATAGATAGATAGATAGGTAGATAGATAGATGGATGGCACAGGGTGAGTTAAAGATGAAGGGGTCATATGAGAATAAAATTAAGGGGTGAGAGAGGATTATACTAGAAGGAGAAAGGTAAAGGTAGAACGGGGTAAATTATCTCACAAAAAAAAAAACAGAAAAGAAAAGGCTCTTACAGTGGAGGGGAAACGGGGGAAGGTGAGAGGGAATGAGTGAATCTTATTCTCATAGGATTTGACTTAAGGAGGGAATAACATACACACTCAATTGGGTATGGAAATCTGTCTTACCCTACAGGAAAATAGGAGGGGAAGGGGACAAGAGAGTAGGGGGATGATAGAGAGGAGAGCATATTGGGAAAGGGGTAATCAGAAGCAAATACTTCTGAGGAGGGACAGGGTCAAAAGAAAGAATAGAATAAATGGGGGGGGTGGGATAGGATTAAGGGAAATAGTTAGTTTTTCACAGCATGTCTACTATGGAAGTGTTTTGCGTAACTGCACATGTATAGCCTATATTGAGTTGCTTGACTTTTCAATAAGGGTGGGTGGGGAGGGAGGAAGGGAGAAAATTTGGAACCCAAAGTTTTAAAAACACATTTAAAAAATAAAAATAAAAATAAAATAAAATAAATGTTTTCACATGCAACTGGGAAATAAGAAATATAGGAAATAGGTTACTGAAATGTATCCTGCCCTACAGGAAAACAGAAGGGGAAAGGGATAAGAGAAGGTGGGAAGAAATAGAAGGAAAGGCAGACTAGGGGAAAGGGTATTCAGAATGCATGCCATCTTGGGGTGGCGGGAGGGGCGAGATGGGGTGAAAATTTGGAACTCAAAATCTTGTGGAAGTAAATGTTGAAAACTAAAAATAAATAAATTTATTAATTAAAAAAAAAGAAATAAGATATATTTAGAATGACCTGCTTTTGATTAAACCATGGTAGTTCTTTGTGATCCCTCTTTCCTTTTCCAATGCTCACTAACCATACTCTAGGTAAAACATTCTAAAATCTTGACAGGTATTGAAATCAAGCTCATTAATTAAAATCAAACTAACTGGGAGTTTACAGATCTCCCTTTCTGGAGGTAGGGGAGTGTGAGGGAAAATTAGAATATTTGCCCTTCTCTAGTTCTGTGGTGCCTCTATCATTCTGCATGATCTTTTAAAGATGGCAGTCTCACATCTGCCTCAACCATATGATAATAATTTCTGATCCTTCATATGTCTAATTTAGTTAGAACATTGTTGCAAATTGATTTCTATGCATTTCCAAAAGGAATATTAGTTCGATTTTCCTGTTCTAAGATTAGCTAGTTAACATGAACATTTAATGTTTAGATTACACAAAGCCAAGCATGACTAAGAAGCATGCAACTGAATTACACATTAAGAAAAAAAAAAGTACAGGACAACTTTCCTGGTTCCTGCCAAAGTAATAACTTTCTGAGATCTTGAAGCTTAATCACAATGAGTTAATTAGAGTAGTTTGCTAAAACATGCTGAGCTTTCCTCTTCAGCATACTATAGTAATTCATACAATCCCAGAGGTTAATGTAATCCAAGCCCCTGACATTTAACACAGGTTGTTCACTGTTCATATTAGAGCCATCCTGAATAACAGAGAGGATGCACAAATCTAAGAACTAATGGATCCCACAGGACTTAGAGGAAAAGATATCTTTATTTGCCCAAGGGAAATGCTTCCTAACTCCTTGAAGTTAATGGTTCTTTCTGGCCTTATTCTTTATTTTAATCAGTATTACAAAAACAAAGAATACATGAAAACTGAGAAACTAAACCAGAAGGAACTCCTATCCAGGTTAGATTAGATATTCCCAAGATAACCTTTCCAAAATTATATATCTTTCTCTTTGGAAATCTTACTTGTCAAAGTACCATACCTTAGTGCTAATTTTGACTGGAAGCAATAGAAGGGAATATTATGAATTTCCTAGTAGAATATTAGTTGATGTCATGTGACTCCCAACACAAGACTCCATTCCTTTCATCTCTGTCTTTTCACCATTCACCCACTCACCCAGACTTGAAACTTAGGTGTCTTCTACTCCTCATCCTTATCCTGTCACAGTCAATCAGTTGCCAAGTCCTTTTTTTTCTTCTCTCTACCTTTGTAATCAATCAGTCAATAAACATTTATTAACTGCCTACGGTGGGCAGGGAATACACCAAGAGGCAAAAGATAGTCCCTGCCCTCAAGGCACAAGCTAAAGGGGTAGACAATAAGCAAACAAATATATAGAAAGCAAGCTATAAACAGGATAAAGAGGAACTAATTAACAGAGGCAAGGCACTGGAATTAGGAGGGGCTAGAGAAGGCTTCTAGAAGAAGAAGGGATTTTTGTTGGGACTTATCCCAGCAAGGGGGGGGTCGGTAGTTGGAGAAGAGGAGGTAGAGCCTCCAGGAATCGCCAAGAGGACAGTGTCACTAGATCAAAGGGTATGTGTCAAGGAGTAAGGTAGGAGGGGGTTAGGCTGAACAGAGTCTTTTTGTATTTGCTCCTGGAGGCAATAGAGAGCCATTGGAGTTTATTGGGGGCTGGGGGTGGCCCACAGCACAGTGTGTGATATGATCAGACCTCTGTAACATCTCTCCTATATGATCTTTTTCTCTCCCCTCATGCTTACTACTACCATTCTGGTGCACACCTGGACTACTGCAATAGCCTGCTGGTTGTTCTCCCTGCTTTGAGTCCCCTCCCTATACCCTACTCCCACTCCAATCCATTCTCTACTCTAAAGTTAGACCTTGCTAAAGTGAAGTTATTTATTGCAAGTCTTATCTTTTCTACTAGATTCTAATCATCCCAAAGGTATTCTTAATCATTTCTGTATTTACCATTAACATAAGCCCTCGAAAAACTTGAATAATATCCCTACATTTAAAAATTCTCAAAAAAAGAAAAAAGTCAATCTGTTCAGGCTATTTTTCATTAAAATATTTAACATGAAATATTTGAGACCAGTAAGCCTTAACCCAAGAAGAAATTATGGCAGACTATGCTATCAAATTGATTTTCCCATTTTATTTGAATATATTTGGTTAAAAATGCATAAATATAATAAGAATTATAATTAGTTTTGTTTATAATAGTAAGTAAATAAATTTAAGTGAATAAGACAATGAAAGTAAACACTAACTTATCATATCCTCAGAATTTAAGGAGTTAAAACTTTGAATTGCAGAGGTCTAAATAAACAAGCTGCAGAGAAAGCAAAAAAAATGGTCTAAAAAGCAAGTCCAATAAAGTAATTACAAAAACACTTGCATGTCTAAAACTAACCAAGGATCAAGGGGTTATCTTTTGATGCTGGGAACTGAGCAAATTTACCTGGAAAATATACACACTTAACTTAAGAGTGTCATAGAGGGCTTTCTGAAATTACTCACAAAGAGCAATGGTAGAAAAGGACTTCAAAGGAGGTCTCTGTGAGGTAGGAACATAGGAACAAAGGAGGTGAATTTTTTTTTTAATCTTCCATTTTAAATAAGTTTACCACAAGGCTCTGTCTTTCCAATTGTTAAACTGAATATTTGCAACAGGTCAGGGAGGGGCACCTCCGGACTCGCCCAACTGTTTTCAAATAAAAATCCAAGTCCTGCGATCCATTCCTACTGCTGCAGTTACATTAAAGTGTAAAATGTATCTTTTCTGTAAACCAGAAATAAATCTGCTGAATATATTTTGCTCTGGCAGAAGGAAAACGATGAAACCCAGGCTTCAGATGGCATTTAACAGGACCACTTCGACAAATTTCACTTTAGAATCTCAGTGTTAGTCACTGATACCAGCTACCACAGGCGAAAGTAAATGCCAGTGACAAGATCCACCGAAAGAATTATGAGCACCCACGCCCACTCGGCGGCTGGGGCCGGGGTGGCAGCAGGAAGCCCAGGACTGGCTGCCATGCTGATCAGTCCACCTGGAGAGCAAGGCTGAGGAGCTGGCCTGGCTTAGGATGGCGCCAGCCCTGCTTGCCACTAACACTGTAAAGCAGCAGAGAGCCGCTGGCATTGCCCATTTTAGGAAGGCACTCTCCCTTTCCTTCTCAAGGCAGAAGACAGGAAAGGGGCACAGAAGCGAAGTCTCGCCTAGAGGCAGGTTCAGAGGACAAACTTGGAAGAACAATAGCCTTTGTATCTCCCCTCTGGGGTATTTACATAAAGGGTTTTTATTCCTACAACAAAGAATCCCTTCAGCAAGCACAGCCTGACCACAGACACAGCAAATACTCCCGCATCCTGGAATCTCCAGGAGCAAGCAAGTCGGCCTGGGTCATTTTAGGCAAAGCATCCCAAGTTCAGGGAGGCAGAAAGCCCCAGGCCGGGTTCGGGAACAGCAAACCGCCGGCTCTACATCTACCAGCTCCTGTTTGCACCGGCCTCTCTCTGCTCTTGTCTCTCCTGGCCCTACCGGGCCCGGCGCTGCTGCCGCTGCCGGGGCTCTGGGCTGCGGCTGTGGCGGGCGATTGGGGGGTTGGGGGGTTCTGCCCCGTGCGGGGGTCCGCACGGGGCCACCCCTGGCCCTCCCAGAGCCTCTCCCAGCCCCGCAGCTTGCCCCTACAGCAAACGTGGTACCCTGCGGGAAGCCGAGACCAGCCTTCCAGCACCTTATTTGGGGGAACAATTCAAGGAAAAGGAAAAAAGGATTACAAACCTTGCATCCCCACCTTCAGTTTTTCAACCAGAATATGCTAGTGCTCAGGCAAATATGAACCAGGGAGGCTATGGACCAATGAGGAGGCACAAGCATTCCAGGCTGGCCATTCATAGGGCTCTGCCGCTGGACGCTATCCAACCACCTCCTACCTCCCCACTAAGTCGGACAGCCCAAGGCCAGGGGCGGGGCCTGAAACACACACGTCCCCCGCCTCCCCCACCCTAACCCTGTAGGAAAGGAGGGAAGTGACAATCGGGGGAGGGAAGAAAGGTTCCTGGCCCCGCCCATCGCAAGCAGTGAGGGCCCCCCCCCCACTTCCCCTAGAATGGGGCTGGGGGGAGTCTGGAGTCCCGGGGGTGGGTGGAAGGAACAGGAAGAGATGGCTGGCTCCATGGGACACAGCATGCACAGGTATGGAAAAAGCTCCATATACACGGGTGAGGAGGACATAGGCTGCTCAAGGGGTGTCTCAAGTGGAGAGGCTCCGAGTCATAAGGTAATGTTGCTTGTCGCTTGGTGTCAGAGAGAGGTAAACGTAGGTGGAAGTTCCCAAAGGCCATTTTCACAGCAAAAAACAAACAACCCCCAATCCCCCAATCAAAATTCAGGCTGAGGAGGACTTCATTAGAATACAACATACTTCTGGCAGCTACCTCTACTGTAATAAACAGGTATATTGGGCACTGGGCAGTCCCTTGCAGGGCTTACTATCTAGTGACCCCAATGCACACTTTGTTATCCATTTCATAATCAAAACATAAACACGTGCATAGTCTGTACAAGCACCTCTTGCTGATTATTACAAATCCAATTTTCCTTCGAAACAAATATTGAAATAAAAAAAATTTAATCCAGTGGTTAATTTGCAAAATCAAATAATGATTTGTGAAATAAATAATATATTCCTTATCTTAGTTTCATGTTAAGAAAGACAAGTAGTTTGAGATAAAATGCTATTATTCCAACACATTATATCTATGGCCCAGAAGTTAGAAATCGAGTTTCCAGGAGTTTGCTTCTCTTTAAGAAACTCCATGGTTAATAAGCTAGTTCTAGAAAAACCTGTGAATACATTTTTTTCTAAGCTTGCCAGTTTAGAATAGACAAATCCAATCTGTATGTACAGATCTATATTACACATTCACAGATACACACAAACCCCCACACATATATGTTTGTGTTTATCACAATTTACCTGAGTTTTGAAAACAAAAGACCTAATGTGTAACTCTATGCACAATTCTAGAAAATGTTCATGAATCCAATCCCTGATCTTCCTCCATATGCTACCCATTTTTGCAAAACTCAAGTTATTATATAAATATGCTACAGTACAAAGAAAAGAGTGACAATATAAGCAGCCTTTTTATTAACAACTTACAATACAAAAGATTTTCCTTTGCAGATCAAGACAGATATTTCTAAGAAGCCCCACAAGCCAAGTACTCTCTGGTGCTGACAGGCAACCAATAACTGTGACAAATGATACATTCATGGCATTTGTGACAATCGATAGAGTGACTTGCCAAATTAATAAAATATAGATCACAAAGCATACATTTTTATTAAAGAATAATTTCATGATAACTAAGTAACATGGAAGCTTCCAAGCATAAGATTAAATTACATGCTGAGTAAATCTGGCATTTTGTGATAAACGGCAAAAATAGTCTTTGCAACAGCAACTGGGGAAGAACATTGCTGACACAGTCTATAAACATGTTTTACAAGCGTCAACCAAAACAACAAAAAAAGCCCGGAATGGGGGCTTAGAGAATCTGCTATTGGATCCACAGTAATTATTTTTTTGCCAGTCCTTTGTGTTGGAAATTACTTTTAATAACATCTTTGGATCTTAATGATGAAAGTAGATTTTTATTTATTATTCCCATCATTAGGAGTCACTACAGAGCAAATTATATTTTTAAATAATCTGACACTAGCAATAGAGATCATTACTGACTGGTTTAAATATTTTTTCCTACTAAAACAACTGTAATGAAAATATGTATTAAAGTGTACCGGATCAATATTTGTGCCTGAAAAGTATAACACCTATTTGTCTGGAGAGGTTTAAGGAAAAAAAATGCTATCAACATAAACATTTTGATAGCACATTTTTTTTGTCCTGGCCTTCTATTTACTTTATCCTAATCCCAATCTCCCAAACCATACCCAATTCCACTGCAACATCAGTCATCCTACTCAGCAGACTTTTGGAGCAGGTACTATGAGTATGTAGGAAGTACAGTAACAGTAACATTCTACCTCCACTCTACCAAAAGATGGGGGGGGGGAGTGTGTGTGTGTGTTTTAATTAAAATGAGTAAAGTACAATAATGTAAATCTCATCCTTTTCCTAGGTTAGGAAAATTTTCTTGAATGTTTCCAGGTATTACCAAGGCTACTGCCCTGTAGTAGAGCTCTCAGCTCTCCTGAACTATACTGAAGTGGCTGGTCCACTTTGTGACAATAACAACACCCTTAAAAATCTCCCAGCATACAAACAGGCAGAATGCTGACCTCTACATAACAATGGAAAACTTTATGAAACAGGACAAAGTAGGCTGTGTTTGAGAATAAGCTAGATAGGCTCTAGAATTTGTCAGTGGAGAAAGAAGTTTTTCTAGATAAGTTATATAGATAAAATCTTTACTAAGGTAAGGAGTTCACTCCTGTAAAGCTGGACTTGCTTTTAAGGGTCATTGTGTCAACATGGAAGGCTGCATTTGGACAGCAGTTCACAAGAGCTGTAACTATTGACTGTTGTTTATATAAAAGGTCCACCTCTTTTAATTCTGATATGGATTTTGAAAAGACCTCCTTTGTTCACAAAGTGAAATTACTATTACTATTTGCACCTCCCCTAAAATTGATCTAGAGAAACACTTTACAAATTGGGGCTTCTGTGCCATAGAAAGGAGACTGCAGAATTCTGGTATTGCCTCACTGAAGCCACAGTGAGGTGGTGGAGGAAGAAGTAAATTTTTTCTACAAACAACTAAAAAAGTAATTTGAGAAATATAGGAAAATGCCAAAGAATGCTTTAACATAAGAAAAGATTTTAGAATGACCCTGAATATATTAGCTCAGGTAACAATTTCTGAGTTGCCATTTTAGGGGATTGCTTCCTAGCCCTTTACTCTTTTTATGAACACATCTCCAAATCTCATTTCCCAATTACTTCTGTGAGGTATAGAAGATATACATGTATATCCTCTATACATGCCCTTAGCAGAGAGGACATCTGGGTCCTACTCTGAGTTCTATGACCTCAGCTATACTTGCCAACTCTAAGCTTCAGTTTCCTCATTAGTAAAATACATAAAATGGAATAGTTTAATCTCTGATTCATTTTATCTAAGATTTAGCAACTAGCTTAGAAACAGAAACTTCCAAATTGGTAATGAAATATCTCCTTCCTCCATAACAGAATATTTTACCAATTGTTAGTGAATGTATCAGATGTATTTGTTTAATTATTATTATTACTTTTGGTAACAAGAAAGGATTCATTCTGTAGGGTTAGAGAGGGGTTCCCATCTTGAAATGGCTGTGATGTAAAGTCAAAATGAGTTAAGCATTTTAAAAATAAATGAAAAACTAAAAATCAACACAAAAGAGGTGCTGCATTTTCCTCTGGGAATGTTGAAAATACAGTATTTTATAGTGCAAAGAAAACTAGATTTGAAGTCCGGGGACCTGGGTTTCAAATTCTGGCTGTATTACCCACTCCTTGTGTAACTATAGGCAAGGGAGTCCCTTTACATCTCTGACTATAGTTTTTCATGTGTAATGCTTACTCCTTGTGTGGCTTTGGGCAAGTTGTTTAACTCTCCAGGCTTCAGCTTTCTCATCTATAAAAGGCAGGAACTGGACTAGATGACCCTTAAGGGTCACTCCAGCTCAGCATTTGGGTCCTACTACTGAATGAACTGATGCTTTATTGAAATTGAACCCGAAAATGCATTCTTTCTACATCTATTTGAAGACCTCCCATGATGCGGATGAAGCAGCCCATTTTTGGAGGGTTCTAATTGTAGGAAGGTTTTTTCTTCTTTCAACCCAAATTTGCTTCTTTAACTCTCAATGACAACAACTAGATCTTAGGATCACAGAATCACAGATTTAGAACTGAAAGGAATCCGAGAGATGCCTTTTTTCTAACCCTGTCATTTTAAAGGTAAGAGAAAGTGAAGCCCAGAATAGTTCTAAGTAGTACATCGGGCATAATGCCCAGTCCTCTGACTAATATCTGGAGCTCTTGCTACTTCCTATTATGCTTATTCTTCTAAACACAACATGGCAAACAAGTGATTCTTGTTGATAAACTTGTTAAAAGTGATACATAGGCTAGGGCACTGTATGTTTCAACTATGAAGGTAAAAATATGAAGCACAGATGAATGCACAGCTCAACCAGTTCAAACACTCACCTGCTTTCCCTTGACCTTGTTACAAAATCCCATCTCCCACCCACTCCTTTTAGCAGTAAGCAGGTTCAAATCAGTCCTCAGAGTTTGAGGATGTAACTCTGCATTATGTATTTGAAGTCAGGTTCTGTTTTGTGTTTTACCTCATAGTACTTAGTTAACAGTACAGAAAGACAAAACATTTTTCTTGTTTTTCTCAGCTTCTAAGGTAAATTAAAATACAATCTTAGCAAATGTGATTCTTCGATGGAAAGAGAATTCTGAAGAGCATCAAGGACACATATCACTCGAGCATTTGTAACATGTCTAGTTCCACAAAGGAAAGAGACTAAGAGAAGGTTATAAATATAGAATCATAGCTCCATTTCCAGGACCAAATACTGATGTTCAGGAACCCCCAAACAGAAATGAGAATGTTCTTCTACCTTGCCTTTAATTAGTCAGTCCCACTTAAAATTCCTATTTAGAAAGAAATAAAAAAATGATCTAATCTAAGTTTATAATAGTCCCTTTGATGGAAACTAATTTTTAAGTATTTTGCATGAGGAGTTACTATTATACCTAGCAATGAGATGGAGCTATACCCAAGGAGGAACCTTCTGACTATCTGAACCTTTCAGTCTAACCCTGGTCATGAGCTCCAAACTGGAATATACAGCAGGTACGTGTAGTGGACTATTACTACACTATAAGAAATAATGAATA